CCCCAAAACCCCAAAACCCCAAAACCCCAAAACCCCTCAGGATAAATATTGCAGAATTGAGTTAAATAGTTTTAAATTAAATAACGATTGGAAAGACTTCAATACTTGCTATCCAGTTATTTTAGATTAGAAGTAGATTGCCTTTATCAATCTTAGAAACTATTGGTTTCTCATGCCTTATTGTTCAGAAATATAACCAGAGAAGGGTGTTAGCGAATATTCCTCCGAAAGTTAGTGATTTCCATAAGTTAGCGTAAGCTTCATGTCTCTATGGTGAGATCCTCCATTTAGTAAGTTCATCTGCAGTTGGGACTGATGGCAAGACTTGTCTTGTTTACTCATTTTCATCGATCTGATAAATCATGAATTTGCTTGCTTCTTCCCAGTTTTTGAGTTAATCAATGACTGAGAAATCGTAGGCATCAACTCTGGTATAATAATGTGCGAGTGGATCGTTTGGCTTAGAATATTTAGTCTTAGCATCTCCTCTGTATAAAACTCCTGTGATCTCAATACCGTCATTAACACCATAGTGCATTCTTTGATCTTTAAAATCTTATGGAACCCAGCCTCTATTAACAAGAATAGCTTGTTCTTCACCCTTGTCGCTTAAATGAGTGTAGAATGGAGTGATAATCTAAACACCTTTTTCTCCATTTAAAAACTTCTCAACTTAGATTTCTTTGGTGTGGTCAAAGATTCCTCTAACTTTGATTTTCTTGAATGAAAACTCATCTTCAAATTAATCTACATTTTTACCTGTCCAGAGGAAATTTTTGCCATTGAGTGGAGTAATATCAAGAGCTTATTCTTTCAAGAGTGTATGTCTATAATTATTAGATTATTTTCCATGTCAGATTTAGATTGATAAGAATACCTTCTCTCAGTCTCGTGATGCTTATCCTCAGCACGTCTTTTTTGGTACTCCATTGCTTGTTGCATGAATACTATCAAGAGTAGTTAAAATGCTGATTAAATTACCAAGAGGTGGGACAGTGCAGAGACTGAATACAATCTTCCTTGAATACATATTTAAATATTATTATAACTTTTAATAATTGTTTCTCAATTCTTTAATGCATGAGTGGGGTTTTGGGGTTTTGGGGTTTTGGCATAT